TGTGTGTGTGTGTGTGTGTGTGTGTGTGTGTATGTGTGTGTCAGGGAATATTTTTTGAGAATAAAGAGTAGCTCAGTTCATTTGAGGCAAAGAATACAAAGAAAGTGATGTAGGTGAGGGAGGAATAAAATTATAAAGATTAAATTGGGACTATAACATGGAGGGTTTTGCATGTTGGCTGAGAATTCTATATTTAAATTTAATAGAGAATATAAAATTTGACTTTATTATATAATAGTAAAGTGTTGACATACAATAAGACCAATACCCAAATTGTTTTTTAGAAAGAGTTTTAGCGTGGTACTAAATGTGAAAGGCTATTTTCATTCTTCCATTCATGCACCTGATTGACCATGACCCAGCACAGGGCCATGGTGTGGCTGGTGTAAATAAGAGATGTGGCCCCTGTGCTCTCAGAGCTTATAGTCCCAGAGCTTTTGCTTAGGTTACCACCTTTTATATCAAATGGTTTCTTGGTCCAATGCCTAAATTTTACTGGTTTTCTTCCTTGGTTCCCCACTGTTGGGTGGATATGTAACACTGAAGCTCCTACTTTCTTGGTATGGTCATGTAAGTCAACCACTCAACAAGTGTGGACTGGGTGTGCCTCTCCTTGTGCAGAAGTTGTGATATAGATATATAGCATGACTCAGTCTGAGGGAGTTTACCTCCAAATTGGGGAGGTAAGAAAGAAGAGTTGCATTTAGAAACAATTACAAATCAAGGTAAGGCAGTTAATATAAATGCATCTAGCATAAAATTATAAATGAATGCACTGAGAAGAAGAGGAGAAAAAAGTAAGCATTAATGGTCTAGAAAGGCCTAATGAAGAACTGGGGTGTGAACTGGGAAGGATGTAGAGGGATGGGGAGAAAATGGCCCTGCCACAGGGGCCAAGAATGAGCCTTAATAGAAGGCACTGCAAAGCGGCAGAAGGACTCATCAGGGAGCTGGGCACACTTATATTCTGATCATGTGGAACCTCCTTGGACTTCTTACTTTAGGTACTTACTGAAGGGATGGGAGACTGAGAATTAACAGGAATCAGAAAATTCTGTGGTAGTCTAGGTGTGAAGAATTTAGGCTGGGGGAAGATGGTAGGGGACCATCTATCTTTTCTCCAAATGTAAATTCATATCCATTAAAAATTAACTGTACCAAATCTTCTGGGTTAAAATATTTACACAGCCTCCTCCTCTACCATGATAACTGGCACAAAAGAATCCTAGAAGTATGTGGCCCAAAGAATATTTCCAGAGAGGGAATTGTAAAAATAATTCTGGGCTTAAAGAGTAAGAATTTTAGGTTTGTATTTTGGCTCTATCATTTATTAGCTGTGGTAGTACAAGACAAATCACTTAACTTCTCTGAATCTGAGTCTTTTTAGTCATAAAATAAGTTAAGAATATCTATCTTATAGGAATGCTTTAAAGATAAAAATGAGGTAATGTTTGTGAAAGTGATTGATAAGTTAGACAAATATATTTGCACATGGGTAAGATAATAATTAGATAAATAATTTGGTCTGGTCTTAGGCATTCATCCATCCAACTAAATGGCCACTATGTGCCAATTACCACAGTAAACTTTGAGGATAATAAGACAGCGTCTGCCTTCAGAGTTCCTATTCTAGCTGGGTAGAGAGACACAAGTTATAACGTGTAATGTTTTTTGTTTTTTTTTTTTAATTTTTTTTTTTTTTCAACGTTTATTTATTTTTGGGACAGAGAGAGACAGAGCATGAACGGGGGAGGGGCAGAGAGAGAGGGAGACACACAATCGGAAACAGGCTCCAGGCTCCGAGCCATCAGCCCAGAGCCCGACGCGGGGCTCGAACTCACGGACCGCGAGATCGTGACCTGGCTGAAGTCGGACGCTTAACCGACTGCGCCACCCAGGCGCCCCACGTGTAATGTTTTTTATGGGAACTTGTGTACAGAGGTGATAACAGTTAAAAGCTTAAATTTAAAAACAATTTCAAGTGTTAATTATCACGTAAACTGAAGTTTTGTTTCAAAATTTAATGTCATTCCTAGAGTAGTCAAATTTATAGAGAAAGAAAGGAGAATGGAGGTTGCCAGGGACTGTGGGGAGGTTGGGAACGGGGAGCTAGTGTTTAATGGGTACAGTTTCAGCATGGGAAGAAACAGTTCTGGAGACACATGCTAGTGATGGTCGCACAACAATGTAAATGTACTTAATGTTAATGCCACAGAAGTGTACACTTAAAAATGGTTATGGGGTGCCTGGGTGGCTCGGTCAGTTAAGCGTCTGACTTCGGCTCAGGTCATGATCTCACGGTTTGTGGGTTCGAGCCCCGCGTCGGGCTCTGTGCTGACTGCTCAGAGCCTGGGGCCTGTTTCAGATTCTGTGTCTCCCTCTCTCTCTCTGCCCCTCCCCTGTTCATGCTCTGTCTCTCTCTGTCTCAAAAATAAATAAATGTTAAAAAAAAAAAATAAAAAAAAAATGGTTAAAGTGGTATATTTTGTGCTATATATATTTTACCACAATTAAAGACATGAATTTAAAGTCATTCTTTATCTTAGCCGATCTTTATGTTAGTACTCACGAAGGTGCAATATCCAGATGGTTGATGCTAAATCCAGAAGAGCAAAAGCCTCCCAGTGTTGTTGATATGGTTAAGAATGCAACGGCCAAAGAATAATCACAACCTATAAATCCAGCGGCTACCAGGAATACTGCAGGTCCAATCATTCCTGGAGTTAAAAAGTTATAAACAGAAAAGAAAGCTCCAGTATTAACATTTGCTTGTGCTACCAATAATATAGTACAAATCTGAGGTTTGATATTACTGCCACCTACTGTAGAGACACTGTGCTGCCTAGGAGACAACTTACATAGTTTTCATGAAAAAAAAAAACTACTGGAAAACACAGATATAATACAACTAATGTAAAAGTAAAAAGAAAATATCATTATGGAATATGATTAAATCTACATGTGACCTAGACTCAGCTAAAGTTCTAGGAAGAGCAAGAAGAGGATGACTGAAAAATATAGTTCTCGAGAAAGCAATAGTTGTTGATACAGAAAGAGATTTAAAATTCATATAACCAAGGAAGATAAACTAAATAAACTCTATTAAATAAAGTTAGAAAAACACTCCATCTAGGTTTTAGCAATTGATAGCAATATACACATTTTACTACAGGCATTTAAGCATAAAATATAAGTAACAGGAAGGGACTCAATGAATGGGTTGCCATTCTTTCTGTTCTACAGCAGTGCTATCCAATGACCATCTGTGACAATGGAAATGTTGTATTTGTATATACTGCAGCTGAGAAACTTATTTTTAAAATTCAATTAAATGTAAATAGCCATATGTGGATAGTGGCTACCATATTGGACAGAGGAGGTGAACAGGAAGCAAAAAAGAGAAAGTTGGGTTGAATCTACTTCACTTGCAGGTGTGGAGAAATTTCTTGAGAATTGAGACAAGCAAGCAATGGAACAGGACAGCACCTTCCAGCAGTAGCTGCTCAGGGTCCTGCTACAATGTAATTTCTCAAGTATAACCTTCAGCGACTTCCAGGGTCCCTGCTTACTCAAGATCTTAAAAAAAATGAAATAATTATCATAGATAATTTAAAATTTACCTTGATGAAAGCAGTCTGAAACACACGATTATTTAAGGTAGCTTTGAGTTCTCTGATTTATAGCTCCTCATTTAATATAATGATGCCAGTAAATGTTTTTGGATTAAAAATTAAAATGTATTCACTTAGAAAAGGGATAGAGACTTAAAAATATTATTTTCACTGCAAAATTGGAGCCGAAAACAAAATGATTTATAAAATTCTGGAAATGATATTCAGCAAAGCAAGCCATTTTTAATGGTTAAGACTAGGGTGGAGATAATAGGATATTATAAATATTAACCCGCAAAATACATAGTTCAAAAACAACATTTATTTGTTCGTTCGTTCGTTCATTCATTCATTCATTCATTCATTTATATTTGAGAGAGTGCGAGCAGGGGAAAGGGGCAGAGAAAGACAGATAGAATCTCAGACTCCATGCTCAGCATGGAACCCAACATGGGGCTCAGTCCCACAATCTTGGGATCACTACCTGTGCTGAAATCAAGAGTCAGACACTCATTTGACTGAGTCACCCAGGTGCCCCAGATCCAACCATCTTGTATAGAAATGCACTACATGCATTAAAACATAGTGTTTTAATATGTGAACAAAATAAATGACTAATATCATTTTTATTTTGCTTTGCACAGTAAACACAGTAAACGATTGTAAATCAAAACAAACATTGATTCACTTCACTTACCTATAAGGCTAAACACTCTTCGGACACATATAGTTGAAAAATTCCATTTTGCCCTTAAATTGTCAGCAGCTTGACCAGATAGGATCATACATAACCAACAGCCAAAATAAGGCAGTGCAGATAGAAGCCCATTCTGGAAGGAATAAGAAGATACAGAATTAATTGGTGGGGGGAAGGGGAGTAAGAACCAAAACAATATTCATATACACACATTCACCACCACTCAAAAACAAAGGAAATTCATACAATATAGTGTTGATATTAATACAGTCTAGTCTGCTCAAGGTAATCTTGTTTTTTTTATAATTTTTTAAAAAGTTTATTTATTTATTTTGAGGTGGGGGAGGGGCAGAGAGAGAGAGGGATAGAGAGAGAATCCCAAGCAGGCTCTGTGTTTAAGCACAGAACCGGATGTGGGGCTGGAACTCATGAACCATGAGCATATGACCTGAGCCAAAATCAAGAGTTGAACACTTAAACGACTGAGCCATCCAGGCGCCCCATGCTCAAAGTAATCTTACATGTTATTTTGGGACTTGGGGTGCAGTTTCAGTAGGAGAGGACAAATCTTTCTATTACATTAGCCTATAGATTCTCCCCATTGAAAAGTTTTTGTCAATTTTCACTTATTTATACATACTTATATATGTGTTATATAGTATTTATATTTTAAGTTATATAAAATTATAATATACAAATTTACTATAAATATTCAGTTATATTTAAAAATTATATTTCTATTTAAAATTTATATTTATATTTTAAAATGGTAAATTTATTTTACATATAGATATTTATCTTTATATAAAACAGAAAATATAAATACATTTATAATTATATGACTGTTATAGATTATATATAATTATACATACTTATATGTATAGAAATATTATAAAATAACGTGCAGATACAGAAAACCACATGAATTGAATGTTTAGCTTAATGAAATGCTCAAAAATGCACATTGTCTAGATCAGGTGTACAATGCACCACCACATGCTTTGAGCAGAGGACAAAGGTAGTGAGTTGATAGACCTCTATTTTTCCCTCTTCTTTTCCTTTAAGTTGCCACCTAAACAAAATAAAAGCACCAGAAGATATGAAACAGAATTTATCCTGGAAATGTGCTATGCTATTTGCTTTGTAGGAAATGATTTGGCAGTCAAGTTTTTAGGAAATCCCAAATTCTGTAAAATGAAGAACACATACGTGGAGAAAGGAAAATTCTTTCTTCTCGTCATTTTTCCCCAGCATAAACACCTGAGGTGCCAAAACTAAATGACACAAATCTGATAAAAACAAAGGTTTTTATAGTATGAGAAAGATGGGTACACTTGTTAGTCTTTTACAAACACACAAAAAAGGTAGAAAGATATATTATCAGTGATATTTAAATCTTCTATTTAAGTATCATTAATGGCACAAACCAATAAAATCTGTTAATATTTTAAATTTAAGTATGCTTAAGAAAAGATTTAGGGGCACCTGGGTGGCTCAGTTGGTTAAGCATCCAACTTTGGCTCACGTCATGACTTCACAGTTTGTGGGTTTGAGCCCCACGTCAGGCTCTGTGCTGACAGCTCAGAGCCTGGAGCCTGCTTCGGATTCTCTCTCTCTCTCTCTCTCTCTCTCTCTCTCTCTCAAAAATAAATATTTACAAAAAAGCTTTAGAAAAGATTTAACTTTTTTCATCATAGGTTATAGTCATCTGTATTCAAATGTTGTATATTTCCAATTCTACTTCTGTAGCTAAGGTTTTTGTTTCTTTCTGGTATTAAGCTAAGTAATTTCCTCTTTAAATTTTATTCTATTTAGATTTTTTGCATAGCGGGATCGCTTCTATCATTATTTGTGGCAGAATCCTACTTAGGAATAAACTATAGCAAATGGAGAAGTGGATTTTCTGATCTTGGTCTTGTTCCCTGGTGGGATGAGACTGATAATTCATCAGAGTTACTGAATTTTTCCACTTAAAGTTCAAATGTTAAAAACTTTCCCAACAACCTAAAACTACCACCTTCTACAAATTATTATAAATCTTCAACATTTGTATATCCATGGGTATCTTTCACAGTTGTTAAGCTTTTATACTCATTTATTTAAAAAATTGATTCTAAAATATTAATATCCAGAATAGGATAATAGATATTGCCCCAACTCTCACTGAACTGTACGAAATAGGGATACTAGGGCCACCTGGGTGACTCAGTTGGTTAAGTGTCCAACTCTTGATATCAGCTCAGGTCATGCATAATCTCAGGCTTGTGGGATAGAGCCCTACATTGGGCTATGCTTGGGAGTGCAGAGCCTACTTGGGATTCTCTCTCTCCCTCTCTCTGCCCCTCCTCTGCCTGTGCATGCGTGTGCTCTCTCTCTCTTTCTCCCAGAATAAACTAAAAACAAAAACACAAAACAAAAAAAAAACAAAGAAAAAGAAACAGGGACAGGAAAAAGAAAAGAAAAAAGGGAAGAAAAAAGAAGAGAAAGGGAACAGGAACACTAGAACTGGGAAAAACTAAGAAAAAAGAAAAGTAAGGATAACTAATGAAGCTAAACTTCTATGAAAAAGCAAGCTTATAACAAAGGATCAAGAGCTTTAAATTTTCTTATTTTTATTTTTTTATTGTTATTTGTTAATTTTAGAGAGAGAGAGCATGAGCAGGGGAAAGGGGCAGAGGGAGAGAAAGAATCTCAAGCAGGCTCCATGCTCAGCAAGAGCCTGATGTGGGGCTTGATCCCCTGACCCTGAGATCCTGACCTGAGCCAAAATCAAGAGTCGGACGCTCAACCAACTGAGCCACTCAGGTGGCCTAAAAAAGAAATTCATTAAAAAAAAAGGCTTCTATACAATTAGAGAATTATTTTGAAAATTTGTTCACAATTCTTTGAATTTGGAAAGAAAATACGTTTTGGTATAAAAATGCAAGATAAATGATTCTGGTTTTAAAGTCTCTCATAGAACTTAAAAAAAATCAATGAAAAATGGATGAAGGCAATTAAATGCACAACACTAATTGATATTTCATTCTTTCCATAGTTCTCTCAGGAAAATCTCAAACAGGAGCATCTGTGGAATGATCTTTAAATTTCCATGCAATTTGTCATACAGTAGATTATAGTCAGGCTCTACTGACAGAATGCTTAGGAAAACAAGATTGCTCATGAGAAACTCACCCCATGCTATTGCCAAAGCTTTGTTTCAGGTTAACTTCTGTCAATGCAATTTGCGGATATATTTGAGTATAGATGATCTTGATTTTCAACAGTAGCCAGAGTTCTTCCCAGCTTAGCTGCTTGGATGCAGTTTAAGGTTCGGTCCACGGCCAGTGTTCCCAGTATGCTTTGGAAGACAGGTGACTGGAGATTCACTTTAACGATGTTTAAAGCTGTGTATCTGTCTGTGTAGCCAATGCAATTGTGCAGTCAGTCCTGCTGCCTTCACATTCATCATCCGGGCTGCTTTTTTACTTCCAGGGCCATCTTTCATTTTGTGGCTGAGTTGTTCCATTGTAGAATACACCATATTTTGTTTATTCATTCATTAGCTGATGGACATTTGGGCTGTTTCCACTTTTTGGTTACCATGAATAACGATGTTATGAACATTCAGGCATGTGTTTTTGTGTGAATATATGTTTTCAGTTCTCTTGGGTCTATATCCAGGGGAGTTCTGGGTCTTATATTAACTTTATGTTTAAGTTTTTGAGGAACTGCCAAACTTTTCCACAGTGGCTACACTACTTTACATTCCCATCAGCAATGTATAAGGGTTCCATTTCCTCTACCCTCTCACCAGCACTTGTTATTTTCTGGGTTTTTTTTTTTTTTTTTTTTTTTAAATTCCAATAGGTATGAAGTAGTATCCCATTATAGTTTTGATTTGCATTTTCCTAATGATTAACGATGTGGAGCGTTTTTACATGGACTTATTGGTCATTTGTATGTCTTCTTTGGAGAAATGTCTATTCAAATGCTTTGCCCATTTAAAAGATTGGGTTGTCTTTTTATTATGGAGTTGTATGAATTCCAGAATATATAAGGAATATATTTTTTATATTCCTTATATATTCTAGATCCTTATCAGAAATATGATTTGCAAATATTTTCTCCCATTTAGTGGATTTTCATTCATTTTGTGTGTGTGTATTTTCATTCTTGATGGTGTCTTTTGCGTCACAAAAGTTTTTAATTTTGATGAAATAGAATTTATGTATTTTTTTCTTCGGTGACTTATGCTTTTGGTGTGCCAAGGGCACAAGGATGTACACTTTCTAAGAGTTTATTGTTTTAGCTCTCACATTTATGTCTTTGATCTTTTACTTTGAAGGCAAAAACACCACCAATTTTCCTTATAAACTGACTCTTCCTGTTCAGGCTTTTCTTCAAGCTCTTTAAAGACAAAACCCATCAACACAGAGATTCTGATAGAAACTGCCTCAATCTGATGGGTTCCAAAGGACCAGCAGTTTCAGGAAGGCTCTTCTTATACAGCTTTGCAACTATAGCTCTGCCAGTGCCTAAATAATGCTGCAGAGCGACCTCAGGTCTCCCAAGTCCCCTCTCAGCTGCCAGCGAGTTCTACTGCTGTCCCTTTGAGAAGTGAATACGGGTACACTTGAATTTGTTGTCTGATATCCTGGCATGTTACTAGGGACTAATAAGACCTTTATGGTTAAGGGAGATACCAGCCCAAAGGTACCTTGAATCAAGAATTAACACACACTGAAAAAAGAAGGAACAGTTGTGAAGCAAGAAGAGCAGTTCAGGATATGAGAGTAAAATGGAAGATACAAAACAACAATTTTATATAGATAAAAACAAATTCTGTCTGTAGTTTAAAAATGTACACTTTATACAAGAAGGAGATGATTCTTTTTTCTTACCTCTTGAACATTGAACCTTAGGATCTCCTTCATATAAGTAGGCAATAACGTCAATAAAGTATAAAATGTCCAGTTGTAAGAAAAATGTGCAACTACAATAGCCCAAAGAGGTAGTGATTTTAGCATGGGTACCCATGGCACTGACTTCTGTGAAGAGAGCTGAAAAAAACAAAACAAAACAAAATGACAGGCACAATTCATGTATGCTATGTTTATATCTGTACCTTAGCAGCCAAAATTCCATCCAGAACACATTACCAGCCTTGACTAGTAAATTCCAGAGTTTGAAACCAACTCTTTCAGAATATTAAACAGCAATAAAGAATCCATGATTCAGATTAAAGAAAAATAGAAATGTAATCTTATAACTATAATGTCAACCCTAAACATCCCTTATGAACGTCAGAATTCACTTGCAGTATTAATTTCTCCATCTAGAAAATATAGTTTCATAATCAAATTCAGAGGCTGACATAAGGGCAAAGGAATGAGATTGGAAGTCCTCTTATAATTTATATTTCACTATCGAATCTTTACTCAATGATAATGATTTATAAGAACTGTGCAACAGAAAGTTTGTTTCTGGAGAAATGGTCTTCAAAGTAGGGTGTAAGCACCTTAGGGATACAAGATGATTAACTGTTGTGTGGAAAAACATATTAGAACTTCTATCTATACTCACTTTTATTCTAAAACAAGAAACTCTATTAATATTTAATACATAGGTTGGCCTTGGAGTGTATCAATCACATATTGTATGGTCTCCCCAATTCAAAGGGGTTAATGGGATCCTCACTTTCTGGTTTGCTCTCAGTGTACCACAACATATTACAGTTTTTACCTACCTTTTTAAGTGGGTTTATGGATTTTGTTAGTCAGTTTTAAATAAAACAAATCTACAAAATTGACAGTGTCTTCAAAAAGATTCTTACAGAGCAAGTCATAGAAGAGAATCCTAATAACATAGGCACAAAGGAACAGTAAGAAAATAGTGAATCTGACACTTTTCCTCATATGAGTTCTTTGTCAGCTACCTCACCAAGCAAAATAATAGTAGGGTCATCAAATATAACATACTCAACACTGCTCCCATTAAACAACATTACTAATTTTTATGTGATAAAAAGGTTTTCCTGTTAAAATTACAAATTTATGTACATACTGTTTATTTCATTTTATTTACTCTTTAAAAAATCCATTTTTGTATATGTTTTATGATACATATAAGTACAGTAGTACATGTATGTAACCATGAACAAATATACCTTTATTCAGAGTGTTAGCTCCCATCTTTTTATTGATGCGTGATTAAGAAGCCTGGAATCCACTAACCTGGAGCATCAGATTATTACATTTCCTGTACACTGAGGCTCTGTGGTTTCTCAAAAGCTAATAAAGCAATCTATGTTTCTGCCTATGAACCCTGCCTCCAGGGTTCACTGTTATTTCAAAAAGAGGAAGAGCTAGTATTAACCTTCTTGTGGCTTTTTCTTTTTATTTGATTTGGTAGCTACACTCTTATGCTATCCACTTTGTATCAAAGATGTAGGGTATTTGGGGGAAAAGGAGACGGAACATTTATTTTTTTGTTGCTAAAATTTTTTTAAAAATGTTTATTTATTTTTGAGAGAGAGAGA